GGGCCCCCGAAGACCATCCATATTTTGGCTTTTGGGACTTAATTCCATGTTAGTTGTATGTATGTATGTATGTATGTATGTATGTATGTAGGTAGGTAGGTAGGTAGGTAGGTAGGTAGGTCGGTGGGTGGGTCGGTAGGTAGGTAGGTAGGTAGGTAGGTAGGTAGGTAGGTAGGTGGGTAGGTGGGTAGGTGGGTAGGTGGGTAGGTAGGCAGGTAGGTAGGTAGGTCGGTAGGTAGGTAGGTAGGTAGGTCGGTAGGTAGGTAGGTAGGTAGGTAGGCAGGTAGGTATGTAGGTATGTACGTATGCATACATGCATGCATGCATGCATGCACATATGCACATATACATGTTATATGTATATTTACTTATACATATATAGACACGAACACAAACACACACACACATACCCACACACACACACAACTATCTATATACATATATATATATATACACACACATATATATATATAGACACACACACCTCAAAATCATCCAGTCCCAATTCCCGTCATGTCCCATGGCACCTGGACTGCGACTCCGGGCGCCTCAGAGCATTCAGAGGGTTGCACCAGGATTCTAAAGGGTTGCTGCAAGGTGCTTGTTGGGTTTTGATAGGGTTCCAATCTGCTTTTCAGGATTGTATGAAGGTTCTACAGGGTTGTAGAAGGTTGCATAGGGGTTTCGAAGCTCTTGCGGGGTTTTGAGGGTTGTTTCAGGGTTTTGTAGGGTTCTATACGGTTTATAGGGTCGTATGTCGTGGTAGGCTTGTGTAGGGGTTTATAGGGCTGTATCGTAGGAGGGCTTCATAGGGTTGTATACGTTGCATGAGGTTGTGCGGGGTTGGGCAAGGGTTCTGTGGGGTGTTGCTGGCTTGTGTACGGATTCATAGGGCCATATAGGGCTGTATAGCGTTTTATAAGTTTTAGAGGGGTTCCAACGAGAATCTAAGAGGGGCTGCACAAGAGTTCTTCTAGAAGCACAAGTGGCATGGCACGAATGCTGCAAGGCTAGGTCTGTAGATACAAGAGCTGAATTTCAGGGTTTTTCCAGGAAGTGTAAGAACGTAAGCGTCGACTACCCTCAAACGGTTCAGAGAACACCGCCTGCCGGAAGGCATCAAGCCCCAACCAACATCCATGATGCTGCAACAACTACAGCGGTATACAAGCAAAGCCTCGCTATCGCGGATCAGCTCGTAATAGCACCGCATCGTCAAGGTATGTTACCGGCTCCACGTACGAGTAGGCATAAGCCTGAACCTTTAATCTAGCCCTGCGTGCGATACCAGAACCCCGAAAACCTAGACCTTCGATCTTCAATGCCCACAAGCTAAACAGCAAAAGACCCAAGTCCAGACATTCCAGACCTGAAAACTCTGCTTGACACCGATAAGCCCTAGATACTCTTGATCTCGAGACCTATATCCATTACCTCCTCCTACAGCTAAAAAGGTGAACTCCTAAGCGCAAAACTCCGTTGATGCTCGAGCCCAGCCTGGACCCCGGCCTTTCCGAATCCCTGTGAGGCCCGGGCCACCGACCTGGTCCCAGGACGTGGCGCCCGGACCTTGATCTTCGAAGCAGGAAGGGCTCAGGCCTTCTCTACCTTTGCACATTCTGTTATCTCATGCTATTCTATATTATGCGATAACACTATACGCAGTTGTGCTATATCTTACTATACTGTTTTAAATACTGTATTATCTCTTGCCAAAGGCTGGCCATTGTTCGGATAACCTTTAGCGGCAATGGGCAACTGCGTGGAGTAGCTTTTTGTCACGCGTGTCTGCCAAGCGAATGGGGATCTCGCATGCCCTGTGGCCGGGCCAGAAGGCAATAATCTGCGAGCACCTCGTAAAATATTCAAACGAAGTTGTTCCTGGCATGTCGACATGAAGGAACGGCATGCATCTCGCACCTTCAACCGCATTGTTACGATCAAAGTCTAAAGTAGGTTGCAGATCACCGAGAAGTGTACTGGTGGCGCTTAACGGAGGCTTCATGCTTAACCGGTGACAAAGTCATACTCCAAAACTTTGTACTGCAATGCTGTTCGAAGACTTGGTCGGCAATCTGGCTCCAACATCTTTAAGAAATAAAGTGGATAGCTCTTTGGTAGAGCCCTGTAGCAGAAGCATCTCCTGTAGAAGACACCACAGGAGGTCAAGACATCGAGACTTGGCGCAGCCCTCTGGCTGCTTGTGCAAATTTCAAAAATTGCAGTGAATTGGAAGGGGGGGTGCAGCTCCACTGCGACACGGATGAAAGCACAGCAGCCAAGTCAATCAGTGAATCCGTGGGTCAAGCGGCCTGACCAGGGGCTTCCTTCTACAAGCTGCATCCTTCATCCGCCAAAACTTTACGGGTGTTGTTGGCACCCTGTCCCCCCAATGCGGATGCAAGAGAACCGTCTATGTCTATGCCTTCAGACATTTCAAACCACCGAGTCGTCATCCGAACCTTTCTTGGGCTCTTGAATGTACTGACGGGCAGGGCTGTGGTATGCCATCTCACCGTGCTCGGTGAGATCAAGTCCTCCAGTACCAATCGGCTTCAAAGGCATACAAAGGTTGATTGCCTTCAGCAGCACGAGCGTCACAAGTACAGAGTAAACAGCCGCAAGTAGAGCCGCGACGAGCTGCTTTCCGACCTGCTCGATCCCGGCGGTCACCTGGCCCGGGTTCACGCAGTAGCTGGGGGCCGCCTCTAGAGCGCCACACTCTTCCGGATCCGCAAGCACCCCGAGCAAAACCGTGCCCATGAAGCCGCCCATACCATGGACGCCCCAGACATCCAAGGCATCGTCAAAGCCCAGCCGCTTCCGAAGCTCGCAGCACGCATAGCAGAAGAAAGTGGCAACGATGCCGAGAATGAATGCACCCCAGGGCTGGATGAAGCCAGCAGCCGGCGTGATGGTGGCAAGACCGGCGATGGCACCCACACAGAGTCCAACCAAGCCGGGACGGCCATTGCGAACCCAATCGATGAGGAGCCAGAGGAACAAGGCTACGGAAGCCGAAATCTCAGAGTTGACAGCTGCACCAACGGCCACCGATCCAGTTGCCAACGCTGATCCAGCGTTGAAGCCGAACCAACCAAACCAGAGCATGGCCGTGCCGAGAGCAACAAAGGGGACATTGTGAGGTCGGTCGTGGTCCTCCAGGTCCTCTTCTGAGACTTGGCGCTTGCCCACCACGATGAGGCTTGCCAGGGCAGAGAATCCCGCCGTGACGTGCACCACAATGCCTCCGGCAAAATCCTTCACACCCCACTGTGCCAGCCATCCTCCGCCCCAGACCCAGTGGCACCAGGGCGCATAGACGCACACAAGCCAGAGGGCAATGAATGCCAGGTACGGCTTGAAGCGGAAGCGGTCCGCAAACGCGCCGGTCATGAGCGCCGGTGTGATCACAGCGAACATGCCTTGGTACCCGGCGAAGAGGAGGCCTGGAATGGACATGTCCGGGAGCGCTTCGTTGACGTTCAGTCCCCGGAGGCCGAAGTGCGTGAAGGGGTTGCCAATGAAGTAGAGACTCTCCCCGAAGCATAGGGAATAGCCGAAGAGGAACCAGATGATGCTGGCAACTCCCATTGACACAAAGCTCTGCATCATCATGGTGAGAACACTTGTGTCCTTGACTAGGCCTCCATAAAAGAACGCCAAGCCCGGCGTCATGAGCTGCACCAGCGCCATGCACACCATCATGAATGCGGTGCTGGCTGCATCGATGCCCCCAACTGCCATTGTTTTTTCGGGCACCTCGACTCCGGGACTCGGCAACTCGTCGGACAGGTTCAAAGCCCAAATGCTTGAGCCAAAGCGTTGCAAAATCTAGGACCTAGGGCTCAGGAAGGAGTGAAGTGCTTGAAGCCTTCAGAGGCCTTGATTTCTCGAGAGTTTTTGTCTTGAGGCTCCCAAAGAAGCCTGGCAAAAAAGGCAAAAGCGTCGGCTCCGGGGCCGCGGCCTCTTGGGCCCTGGGCGTGACCTTGGGAGCTGGGCTTTAACGGGGCCTTTGAGCTCAACAACTCCGAATGCTGCTGGGCCTGAGTTTGGAGATGCAGCTGGGCATCCCTCGCTGCTGTCAGCGACAATACTTGATACGTGTGGATGAGGCCCTGACCCCCGTGACTCGCAGGAGAACCACCGTAGCTGTTGTGTCCATCCCTCCCACCGTCCCTACCATATGCCTCCCGGCCGTAGCCCTCCCGGCCGTAGCCATCCCGGCCGTGGCCCTCCCGGCCGTAGCTTTCACGGCCGTAGCTTTCACGGCCGTTTCTGGAGTAACTGTCTCTTCCATGGCCGTCACGGCTGTGGCTTTGGCCGTAACCGCCGTGTCCGTCCTGCAGTCTCAAAGCAGGCAAGGTTCGTCCGTTCCACTGGTTGTCGTGCAAACTCCTCCTGCTGGCCGAAGTTCCGGATGGACCTGGCAATTCCAGCAGTCAAGCGTCAGTTCGTCGGTGTGCCAGACTCGGCGCTGAGTCGTTGGCGCCCAGCTGTCGAACTCGCTCGGCCTGCTGAGCAAATCGCAATGCCATGGGCAGCTGACATTTCAACTTTCAACAATGGAGAATCAAGCTGCCTCTAGTCACTGCTAAGCAGCAGGTTTGCTTGAGCCCTGCAGGCTGACACTGGCCAGCATTACGAGTCCAAGGCCTCTGGGCAGCGTCTTCTGCCATGTAGTCACTGATGCGGGACAGCACTATCCTGCAGGGGCCCAGACGAGGAGCTAAGTTACACACAACTCCCTCGGAGAGAAACCCAATATCCCAGATCGAAGCCTGAACCTCAAGGGGCACGATGCACTCGAAGTTCTTGTGGTGGCTCGGCTGTAAAAGACGGCCCTAGTACCATCATGATGATGATGATAGTGATGGTGATGGCGATGGTGCTGGTAACGATACTGATGATAATGATAATGAAACTGATAATGATAATGATAATGATAATAACGACGATGATGCTGAGGGTGATGATGCTGGTGATCATGAAGACAATGACGATGCCAATGACGATGCCAATGATGATGATGATGATGATGATGGTGATGATGGTGATGATGATGATGGTGATGATGGTGATGATGGTGATGATGATGATCATCATCGTCATCATGATGTTGCTGATGATGGCGATACGCAGGATGCTGATGCTGATGATGATAACGATGGTGATGATGATGATGATGGTGATGATGGTGATGATGATGATCATCATCATCATCATGATGTTGCTGATGATGGCGATACGCAGGATGCTGATGCTGATGATGATAACGATGGTGATGATGATGATGATAATGATGATGATGAACCAGTGATATCATTATGCTTCGCCTCGCTGTTTCCTTACACTCCCTTCCCGGCAGGCTCCTCAGGCCCTCGGGCCGCGCAGCCAAACGACAGGCCTGGTGGCCTTGCCTCGGAACAGCGCAAGCCGAATTTCAGAAGAGCAACCAAAAACGATCAAAAAAATGGACAAGTAGAGCGTGACCATGGGCACAGCAGTAGAGGCAGTGCCGGCGCTGGCCATCGTGGGGAAGGAGGAGGCAGAAGAAGAGACTCCGGTAGACAGTGGGCTCGGCTGCCGAAGTTCAGCCCTGCAGGTCTCCAACACCCCCCCCCCACTCCAACCCACAGTACGAGCCGGATCTTGGGGTTCAAGGGCCGTCCTGTGCATCTCGAGATTGGTAAGTCACCCACATGCCGATTCTACGTTTCGGCTTTTTGCAGCGCAAAGATTTTTTGGTTCATTCATGCCCTGCCCGATGTGACCAATTCGCATGTGCTAGGGCGTGCGACTCGAATCTTGGACGGCGTCAACTAGCTGTCAGCGAACGGCGCAGCTCCAGAAGACAGATTAGCCGGAAGCCTGTTGTACAACGACAGACCGATAGATCGATGGATGAGGTACACAGATAGGTGGACACATAGGTAGGTAGATAGACAACTGGACCGATAGATAAATAAATAGTTAGTTAAATGGATAGATAGACAGATGAGGTAGACAGATAGGTAGATAAATAGACAGATAGATAGATAGATAGATAGACAGCTAGAGTAGACAAACAGGTAGACAGATAAGTAGACAGATGACAGATAGGCAGATGAGGTAGACAAATAGGTAGACAGACAGGTAGACAGATAGATAGCTAGATGGACAGCTAGATAGAAACATAGACAGACAGACAGACAGACAGACAGATCGATAGATAGATAGGTAGGTAGAAAAGATGAGGTACACAAATAGGTAGGCGAACCCTAGTAAATAGAGACACTCCCAGAGAGATACATAAATAGAGAGATAGACTGATGGATAGATAGATAGATGAGGTAGACTAATAGGTAGACAGATAGCTAGATAGATAGACAGCTAGATGGATGGATAGATAGATAATCCGCCGAGGCCACAGGCCTCCGGCGTCTGGGGGGTTTAACTTCCCCCACCCCCTCCACCGAACCCCAGCCAAACAAAAGAAATTGTGCCACACACTGTTGCTCCGTTAAAATTGACTCAGGTCCTGGCACTGCTTCTAACCAGTCAAACTTCTTGGCTCGCATGGGCTCTCCCCAACAGTCAAACACCCACAAGCAACATGAATCCGACACTTAGTAGCCACGACCGATTTCGCCTCCCTGCAGCCCAAAAGTGACACGCGCTTTCGGTGTCCAGTTTCGAGCCTCAGTCCCTGAGCTGAAGACGCAGAGGCCACAGCCAGGCCGAGCCGGGCGGCGTAGCGTTAGAATTAGATAGATGAATCAATAGATCAATGGAGATATTTATATCTTTTGATTGACTCATGCATTAATTCACTCATGCACTTGTTCGTTAATTCGGTTGTTCGTTCCTTCCGTCCAGCTTCATACGCCTGCTTTCAGTCTTACTTGACTCAATCTCTTCTGAGCAATCAAGTCAACCTTGTCATGATTTCACACTCCCTCTCGCCGGTCGTACTTGTGTAGTGCTAGTCGAGCACAGCCTTCGTTGTTGCTAGCATTGCGTTGCTGACAAGCCGAGGTGCTGGTGCTCCTTGTCAATGATGATTTTAGCGCCAGCTTCCTGCAGAGGTGGTGGACGAGAGATCGCAGAAAATCTGAGCTTTGCACCAGCCCTTGCTTGGGGTGCTGGGTTCTAGAATCCACTAACTAACTCGAAGGTCTGAGTCTAAGGTATGTATACAAGCATCTCTTGCGAATCCCAGCCAGTACCCGGCTTTGCAGGCCTCTTTCAGCGCTTGCACATGGGCCCCTTTGGGCCCGATGATGGCGGAACCGACTCGGAACCTTGCACTGCGACAGGCGACATGTCACAGGTGTCTCCCACTCAAGGTAGCTACAACAGCGATGCTTTGTCCAAAGACAACTGAGGATTGAACACCAACTACAACGACCAAGTCTGTCAAAGCGACTACTCCTGCCAATCCTTGCCGTCTTCCTTCCTAGTTGTGCGCAGCAGTGGCTATTGCTGGAACTGCTGCTGCTGCCAACTTGCTGCTGTGCCACTGAGCGTGGTGGCGGCTGTTGTCGCCATGACGTGCAGGTTTGCAGACTGAAGCCCACCCGTGATCGCTGCAAAAGAACTCTGCTTCACGCAGCCCTCCCTCAGTGCTGGCCATGGTGGTGAATGTCGTGGTGATGCTGATGATGGCAGTGTCCTCGGTACGACTCTGATACTGACGGTTATAATCATAATAATCGTGTTGTCCCATTTGCCAGATTCGCAGGGCCCTTACGGCACCGCGGCACGCAAAACCAGCTCCCCATGCTCCTGGCAAATGCTGAAGCAGCTGGTATTCTTGGATAGAATCAACATTTCGGGGCGGGCATCGTAGTTGGTTAAAGGCCATACCGCACTAAAGAAACCAACAGCAGCCGAGACAGCTTGCAATCAAACGATTCATGACGGTAAAGACGCCGCCGGAGACACCCTTCTGAAAAACTCAGTTTAACTGCATGAGCAGTCTCGGCTGCTGTTGAGACGACGCTACGTTCTTGCTGCGGTCTGGACTTCCTCTTCTTCGCAACTCCAGGTGTTCAAAGTATCCTTTTCACCTGGAACATCCTGCACACCCACACCGAAAATGAAACCCCCGACGCCAACAAAGCACTGCAGGCCCTAAAACATCTCAAAACCCAAGCTCCGAAGCTGCAAACCCTACGTCCTGAATCCAAACCGATCTGCTCACGACACTGAGGCCTTGCCGAGGAAATCGGGCTCGCCCTGCACAGCAGTGCGGCCGCTCGGGTTCTGACCTCGGCTTGAAGTCATTCGGAGAGCCGTCAGCAAGTAGCCCGGAAACTCTGAAGCCCTCAGGGGTTCCAGAAAGGCCCAAACGCTCGGTCTCTGCGCACTCGGCCAGCAGGTCCAGCACCCTGCCCGCTACGAGGAGTCTCTAGGGCCTCTAGGGGTTTGGACTGAGTGTTTATTTTGGGCGGGGGGGGGGGGGGGGGTTGTTGGCGGCTTTATCTTAGGTCATCTCTAAGCATCAAGACTTCGACCGCAAGTTTGGAGACCTCTTTCGTTGAAGGGTTGGTAGTGCACTAAGCTGAAGGGCCAAGCGCTCAGGGTTTTTTGAAGGCCCCTTTCCCCCCTGCCCAAGGCCTGTCCAGGGCCTTGAGGATCCTGCCATGCTCTGTCACTGCTACGCCGAGGCAGCTTCTCTCCAAAGATCTCAACTCGTGGCAGGGGCACGAGAGCTGTTCCTCAGCTTGGATCACCACTAGCCGCAGGCGCGTGCCAGGGTAGAACTCGTCCTCAGTTTGGAAACAGCCGGCGTGAACGCCAGCATCCAAGCCAGCACCGAAAGACGGCGGGTGCCTCAAACCGGAAGTCTCATACTCATGCCGTCGAATGGTCCCGGCGACGCGCGGATGACATGGGGTCGCCACCAGATCAAGCTACATAATTCCCTTCTCACCCTGTAACGGTGTAACGTCAGAGCCCCTCATGGCGAGGCTGCAGCCGCCCAGGTAGCCTACAGCTGCAGGCCCGGGAGGCGGACGCGATTGCTCATGACGAGGCGGCAGTGGCACTCATCCTGCAAGGGGCCACTGCCATGTACGGGACCGAGGCGAGAGAAGAGTCAGAGACTTGTGGATGTCTGGAGCAACTATTGCGGGCTCTTCACCCGAACAGCCTGACTGTGCTGGAGAGCTGAGTCGCCTCCAGGAGTCTTTGAGCTCCCCGCCTGGATGCGGTCTTTGGTACTCCCTCGGTGCCCGAGCACCTTGGCTCTCTCCCGCCCAAGGGCTTGCACACGAAGCTTCATACTGTCTTACCTCCGTCTTCTGACATCTTGTGACTCCAAGATCTGTGTGCAGCTTGCGGCGGAAATGCTGAGGTATCCAAACAGCGATGGGACTTAACCCACTCCACAGTGCCTGCAAACCGCAACGGCAACCCCAAGCATCAGGCCAACACCTTCAAGGATGGAGGACTTCAGACCATTGAGGTCGTAATCATAATCATGGTCATGATGACCACAGTCACCTTCATACTCCTCATCATAATCACAACAGCCATAAACAAAGCCAGAACCGGCAGAAAACTGGCAAAGAAAGCCTGAGGCGAAGCACGCCAGAGGCCAGTGGCTCCGGGCACAAGATCTGCGCAAGAGCCGGTGAGCTTCGGCTTAGGGCTGCAAAGGGCTGAAAACTACGAGTAGGGCTACCGGCTGGCCTAGACGCCTGCAGTGCTTAGAATTGGGTTTGCGGATTAGCTGCGGATTTAGCCATGTTCCGGAAGGCGTTGAGGGGTCCAACTTGAGGCGGGATGATGCAGGACCACGACACCTTATTTTGAGGACCCGTGCAATGACGAAGCCCAGCACCCGAGCCATGGCTGGCCTTGAAAGCATGAGGCCTTCGGTGCGACATGACCTATGGTGTGTAAGAAAGAGCGATCGTGTTGTGACCTTAGTGGTTGCCTGTCCAAAATCCAAAAATCTTGGGTGGTCCTGGTCGTGACTCACGAGTCATGCCTAAGCCCTTGATGGGGGCCGGAGTTAAGTTGACCTGTTTAGCTCAATTCAAATCCAGGCTGCGTTCGAGGAGCTAGCAAAGGGCTATGCTTCGCGGCACCTGGCTTTCCAGAACCTGCCAGGGTTGGGTCAAGTAATGTCGGTATCGGTCTTTGGTTTTCTTATCAGAAAGGACTGTTGTGAGGTGTAGCACACTCTCCAAACTAACACAAAATCTCCACCTCACAACAGTCCCCTCTCCAGAAAGGCAGAAAGGACTGTTCTTATCTGGGTTTGATCCGTGCGGCACTCTCCGGGTGCATCTGCGAGCCAAGCATTTGCGGCATGCAAAAGTATGAAAAATAACGTGACTCTCAAACATTGGATGTAGCGCCGAGAGATGTCGGCGTTAGCGCTGCAGTTGCCCCAATCCCACCCCATCGTGTCCCTTCTTTCGGGCCGCAAGTCTCAGGCAGATGTTTCGGTGTTTTTCAGTCTTGTCATGTCTTGTCCTTGGGCTTCCCTTCCATGGCATGATCCATGATGACCAGACCCCAACTCCGCTACACGCGAAACGGATCCCAGCTGCCGTGGATCTGCACCCTCCAACTTTTTGCTCCTTCCGGGAACGGAGCTTCTGCCGAAGTCTCGGGACTCAGTGCTTCACGGATCCGCGGAGGCCCTGCCGGAGTTCAGGTGGGGAGGGGGGAATGGGCGCCTAGGGTTTAGTGCGATGAGTTCTGACGGGCAGTTCACATAAGTGACGGCAGATGCTGCATGTACTGGTCTCACCTGACTCCTATGACCACGTTTTGAGTTCCACTCTCCACCTCTCCTTGATTTGGGCTTTGGGTCCGGGGCCTGTGACTCGAGTTCAAAGTGATGCAGTCAGTCCTCATCTACACAACCCTAGCCCCACCCCTAAACCATGAACCCTAAACCCTAAGCCACGGCCTTGTTCTGGAGCAACACGGCAGTCAGATCCTTAGCTCTCAATCGCATCTGAACGCCCAAGGCTGTCAAAGCGGGAGAAAAGGGTCTAGGGCCAGGGCTTAGGCCCTTAGGGTGTTTAGGGTCTACGATCTGTGGGCCAAGAGGCCGTGCCGCCCAACGACACCAACGCCTCCTTGAGCCCGTCGATCTCTTCCTGCTGAGAACTGCCCAAGCTGCTGCAAAAACCTGCCTCTGCCTTCTACATGCCTAGGTTTGGGCCTTACAATCAAAAAGCACGACAATAACAAACCCGAAACCGTTTAGGACCCTTATAGAACCCTTTAAAGAGCCCCTTGTAGGCCCCTTGACAGATCCCTTTCCCAGGCGGGCTCCTGGCGCTTCGCCGCCTTCTCCTCGTAGGAGAGGCCGCCGTCGTAGCACTGCTTGGCCAGGCTCTCCTGGCAGCGCAAGGCTTTCACAACAAAAGCTCCTATGCAAATAATCAGAAACATAAGCAGATATAAAAGCTATAGATAAAAATATAACTGTAAATGTCAATGCATGTGTATATATATATATATCTCTCTCTCTCTCTCCCTCTCTCCCTCTCTCTCTTCTATATACATATACAGACGGATAGGTTTGCACAAGCTTTCACAAGCTTCGCGGGACTGAAGCAGAGGATTCGGAGGTGCAGAGAGGGCCGCCCTATGCAGCTCTCATCCGGAGCTCCTGGTAGGTCAGGACGGCGGAGAGCTCTTCCTGCGGAAGGTTCCCCAGGGCTCTCTAAAAAGGTTTAGGGTTTAGGGAGTTTAGGGTTTTTTAAGTGCAGTGACTCTTTCGCTCCGCAGAGTTTAGGGTTTAGGGTTTAGGGTTTGGGAGCTTGTGCGTAAGGTCGGCTCTTTTCTCCGCGCCGCCGCGCTGCGTCGTGCAGTGTCTCAGCGCACTCGAAGAGCTGCTGCACTTGCTGCTGCCGCGGCTGGCACAGGGCTTCGGTGACTTTTTTCGGGGGCTCAAGTCGTGGGCCTGTTGCTACAATCGACATCCGGGGAGCTCTAGGATTTCAGCATGGAGCTAGCGGGTTCCACGATCCGTCTATTCAGCTTCAACAGCCTTCCACGACACGCTAGTCCCAAGAAAAGTAGGATTGCGATGACATGAATATGGCGAGGAAGGCCGAGGAAAATCATGGTGGGGCATGATGAGGTGCGACCACAGTGGCGATGTCATGAAGACACATTCCCACATCTGCATGGTAAAAAAGCTGTGCTTGATGTTGAGAGGAAGCATGGGACAACTGAATGACCTGTGCCGTCGGTGAGCACGATATGTCACGAAGATGATGACTCTCAACATTCGCTGGCGAAACCTGCTTGGGTTCGGAGTGCTTTGGCTTGGGGGCTTCCTAGCACCTGGAGAATGCTGGACCTCAAACATCCAACACAAAGCACTGCTGTCCCCGGTGTCTCAAATGAACCTGCACCCTAGGGTGGCACACGTGGAGCTTTGCGGACTTCCAGATACACTGTATGTCCTTATGTAGAGACTTCAGAGGCATGAAAGGCCTCCGAGTCTCGGACCCTTGCTGGGCCCCCCGACGCGGTAGAAGCTGCGCCCCCGGCCCTTTTGCCGGCCCGCAGACTTGCCCTCAAAGAAGTGGCCCAGGTCCTCCGAGTCTTGGAGCATGTTGGGGAGACGCTGGTGCCAGGATGCGCTGATGGGCGCTTCCGACATCTTCGGCGCATCGACGCGACTACAGTCATCGGCTCTGGTCCAACTTCACACACAGACCCAATGCACGTGACTCTGAAGGCACCGGTGCAAAAGGTCGACGAAGAAGCCCTCCAGAAAAAAGAGACGACGTCACTCGGAACCCAAGAGTTTTTTGTCGTCCGCCTCGAGCCGCGAGGGAGTCGCCCACTCCACAGTGCCGTTGTAGGCGTAGGCCTCTCCCTGAACAAGTCAAACAGTTCATATATCGGGGCTCCTGCTTTGATGCAGTGTTTCAGGGACTCTTCTGAATTCTTCTGACAACGAAATGTGGTCTAGAAGGCTGCGATTTGGGGACCAGATTTTCAGCCCCACTCGCACCCCTGGATTTATCAGAGCAGTTCAGTGGAAAATGCAGTGCACCACGGCTTGGTGATCCGAGAATGCCTTTGCAGGACTGCACTGCTGATACGAGTGATGGTGGTGATGATGATGATGATGATGAGGATGGTGATGAAGATGAAGATGGAAGATGAAGATGAAGATGAAGAGGAAGATGAAGTTGAAGGTGAAGAAGAAGATGATGATGATGATGACAATGATGATGATGATGATGATGACGATGATGATGATGCTGACGACGGTGACGACCGTGATGGCGACGATGTCGATGATGATGGTGATGATGATGATGATGGTGATGATGATGATGGTGATGATGATGATGGTGGTGATGATGATGGTGATGACGAAGACGACAATCACGCCGACCACGATGATACCGGATGACGACGATGATGATTATGATGTTGATGCTGGTGATGGTGATAATGGTGATGATGGTGATGATGATGATGACTCTTGATGATGATGATGATGGTGATGATGGTGATGATGATGATGATGATGATGGCGATGATGATGATGATGATGACGACGATGATGATGGTGGTGGTGGTGATGATGATGGTGATGGCCAAACTGATAGTGAGGCCCTGCTGTCAACAGCGGTGGTGCCATTAATGCTGATCAATGTGATTGAGAACGAATGATGATGAGCTCAGGACTCGGAGAGCCTGCATCCCGTTGGCGACCTTGGAAGAGTTCCCGCTCCCATCCGCAGCCTTCTCTGGGCCTCTGCGCAGGGCAACACCCCGGATTCGTTCATCGGGGCTTGGGTCCGAAATTAAGGCACGAAGCTTGGAGGGTTCTGATGATGGTGATGTTGCTGATTTTGGTGATGGCGATGGTCAGATGGTCATGACCGAAGATGATGCATCAAGACAATGAAGAGGACGGTTCCGACTTACCGACATCTGGGCCCCGCACCCTTAGAGCGTCGAACGCGGTAGTAGCTTTGACTTTCGGGCTCTTCGGAACCTCAAGGGACGTCAGCAGCACTGGCATACATCCAGGGTTCACTATGTCACTATGTTGGCTGCTCCGAGGATTCCGGTCGTGCCGTAGACCTAGCACATCCTAGGACTAGTCGAAACAAAATTCCTTTTTGCTAGGGAAGGCATGCCACTGCAAGCCCTCAGCACACAGACATACACTGCTTGCACCCATACCAGAACGCCAAAAGGGTTAACGGAAAGCATGACGGTGGGTTAACAGAAAGTATGCCGGAGAGCCACGCCAGTTCCAACGCTCCAGGCGGTGCAACTCCCATCCCTCTGGAGTTACCTCAACTCTCGTCCCACAGGCGCATCAAACGATTGGTCCGTCGGCCGTGGGATTTTATGGGTGCCTAGACCGCCTCAAGGCTCGTGGACTAGCAGCTTCCTGTTTGACAGCAACCTTGAAACTTGGAAGAAACATTCCTTCAGGAAAGCAGCCAAAGGCCATAGAGCATTCGCTGCCTGGCCACAGCTTGCAGATCACTCAGAAAGTCGGGCCTGCGAGCCTCATACAGGGCTCTAGGGCGCTAAGGTGTTAGGCCTCAACGTTCCACAGCTTAGACATAGCTCTGGGGCGCGTGGCGCATCGAAGGGTTCCCAGCGGTGCGCGCCTCAGCTCCACGAAGCTGTGCCCAGCTGCGGTTCCAGAGCTGCGAACGGCTTCCAGACCTCAGATGCCATCTGAAGTGCCTCTGAAGAGCCTGCAGCACTTCAAGTCTAGGGTTTACAATCAAGTCTTCGGATATCCTGCTCTTGGAGCAGCTTCTCGGAAAGCAAGAAGGACCTGTAGCCTCTATCACTCTATCCCGAACAAACGTTCTGCAACAGCTTCAGTTCAATGACATGCGTCAAGCCGCAACGACGACAGCAATGCTCAACAGGTGCTGCAGCTCACAATCTCGCCGCTACGGAAGATCCTCTTAAGCCGACAGTTGGCAGGTTCGAAACTTCGATTTCACAGCATCCCATAGCCTGAAGTCGCGTTACCGATCCACCGTCCGGAAAGTCAGGGAGAGTCGGTCTTGCCTGCCACAGCTCACATCGAGCAGGTCCGGATGGGCGTGACAAGGCGCAGATCTTCGGAGCTGATCCGCCCACGGTTCCGAACACGAAACACTAAAGGACTAAAGGGCCCAAAGGCCAAAACCCTCAAGCCCAAAGGCACCCGGAAGTTCCGGGAGGGGCCTCATGTCCATGATAGCGTGCTGCAGGTGCCAGCGGGAGAGGCCGCTCAAGAAGAAGAGGGAACGGCTGGGGAGATCGATGCCTTAGGCTCTGAAAAGTCTCAGGTTCCTACCTATGGGTTTGGAGTGGGGGCGATCTCTCTCTTCCCGACCTGGAGAGTTAGACCCCAATGCAACCCCAGCTTCCCCAGACTCATAATAACGTATGCTTTGTTAGACTTTGAGGCCCTAAAGCCTCACGCCTCCTCCAGTCTTCCATCCGAGGGACACAGCGCTTCGTCAGCGACCCGAAACTCTAGAGGTCTCAGCCGAAGCCTCATGCAGCAACATAATCACACTCACAACCTCATAAGAGAAAGACCTGAAATATTATAACCGATTAGCAAAGAGAATCCAACAAAGATTCTCATTATCTTCTTGTTGTCCTCCTACATTACTACTAGCTCCCACAGTGGCAGTACCGGTAGTTGCAATGGTGGCAGTGGTACTGGTGGTGCTGGTCGTCGTCGTCGTCGTGGGTGCAGTGGTAGTACTCCTGATGCTGCTGCTGCTGCTGCTGCTGCTGCTGCTACTCCTGCTCCTACTCCTACTCCTACTCCTACTCCTTCTCCTACTACTCCTACTCCTACTCCTACTCCTCCTCCTCCTCCTACTACTACTACTACTACTACTACTACTAGTACTACTACTACTAGTACTACTACTACTCGTACTACTACTACTCGTACTACTACTACTACTCGTACTACTACTACTACTACTACTACTACTACTACTACTACTCCTACTACTATTACTACGAGTAGGACGACGCAAGTTGGAGATGAGGCCTGCGTCACAGCCGGCGAGCAGCGTCGCCTCAAGTGCTGGACGGCAGCAGAGCCGAACAGAGGCGGAGAGCCGTCGGCGTTCGAGTCGTGGCGGCCGTGGGCTCGGAAGATCAGGGCTGTTCTGACTCGAAGATGAACAGGTTCTACGGACTTATGATACGGAGGACTTTTACCAGTGTCTAAATGGAAGGCAAGCCCCGATCACTCCAAGATAGCTGCCAAGACAAACAACCTTTCATTTTGCAGACTCGTTCCTCCAACCTACACTCCCCACAATCGACCAAGTCTGAGGCTTGGTACTGTACGGTGACGTACACTAGCAGTACAGCAATAGTACCGTAACAAGCCAAAAGTACAGTAGTTGTGCAGTAGTAGTACGGTGCGACGGTTCAGAGGCGCCTAGAGCTGTTGCGGTTTGGGGATCACCAAAGGCTCGAAGCCAAGCCCCGATCACTCCAAGGTAAAACCTAAACCCTGAACCCGCCTTAACCCTAAACCCTAAATACCTTGACCCTGCTGTACTGCTGCTGTACTACTATTGTACTACTGTACTACTACTGTACCACATGTACTACTCTGCTAGTAGTGTACTACTGTACTATTACTGTACTACTACTACTCCTACTGTACTACTATTGTACTATAACATGCCTCAGGCTTGGTCGATTGTGGAGGGGGGGTGTAGGTTGGAGCGAAAAGTCTTCAAAATGAAGTGTTTTTAGTTTTTGGTGTTAGGGGAACATAGGTGAGATTGACCACCAGCAGAAAGGAAGCAAACAAAAAATCAGCCGGCCAAAACCAGCGCATTAAGGAGACCCCCCAAATGTTTGCCACCGGCTTGGAAAAGCGAAAAATCACATTAAAGATTCGGAACGGTTTGAAGAGGCCCCCACACTAAGCTCCAACAAGCACTGGTATTTCACATATATGAAGCCATCGAGCACCCCAAAGCCTTCTGACGATCGCTGGATGGCTCCTGAGCACATAAGACGAAGCCACCTAGCTCACCACGGGGTGCCCATTTCTTGTAACCCTGGGCCTCGATACAGACTATAATTACTCGCAGTGTGTAATCCCCAAACCTTAAACTCCGAGGCATTCCTCCGCGGAGGGCTTCGTCTGCAGACTTAGGCAAGAATCCTCAGGAAGAGACTCGGCAAAGGTAATCTTGGAGCATTGCTAGTTCTGGCCGTGCTAGGTTAAGCCTCAGGTTCAGCGTGAAGGCTTTCGAGGTTAGGAGTATGGTGTTTTGAAGTTGTTTCTCTTTTTAATTCATGCGGCGCCGGCCCCACACCAAGTTTGTGCTGTACTTAATAAGGACCCGTATATCTGGGGCACTGTTTCAGGATGAGGTCTATGGGCAAAAGTCCAATCTAACTGGCGTCCAGCTTCAGGAGCGATTTAGTCATTAATCCCTAAACCCTAAACCCAATGAAGTTATAGAAAACCTATCAGTATCAAGAATGCCGCGACAGCCGAGGAGAAACCTGGGCTTCGATCCCTGTCCCTGAGGCCAGCTCTGAGGATGAGTTTCGGAGGGCTTTGAGGTTTATGGGAGCTCGGAGTTCTTGTTTTGGGGGGTTTTCTTCTCCGAGGTGCTTGGAAACTTGGTTTCCTTGTGGGATTTGAAGGGGCTTTTTATTAAAGGCGAACACTAAGACCCCCAGCACCCTAAAGCAGGAGAGTTCCAGCTCCAGTCTTCAAGGGTCTGCGGCTGCAGCTTCAGGGCGGTTCAGAGTGAAACTAGATTGAGAGTCATCGCGTTGTCGGATTTAGGGTTTAGGGTGGGCTCCAGGGTCTAATGGTTTTGAGTGCAGGATCACATCTTCGGTTCACATCGAGCGGTGTCAATGAGGCAACCGAGTAGAGGCAGTTCTTGCCGCTTGCAGTTGTTCCAGGTTCAAGCATCCCCCCAAAAGTATGTTGAACCAATGCCCTGTGTCTCAGGTCTGCGTCGGGTCAGCATTTGCAGGAAATGTCGGCACATCATGGTGACACCAGCCCCGCTAATTAGTTGCATTAAATTTCCTACGTTCGCTTTCCGCTACGGTCTCTTAATACAATCTCCCGCTCCAATCGGCGATGAGTTGGTGCCAATGAGCTGCGGCATGCTGTTCATGCCGTTCGCATCCAATCAGACGGCAAGGGGCTTTTTGTTAAATCACCTCCTTCTCATCATACGGCGGTCAAGAAATATGCAGAAAACAGTTTCTGTTCAGATCAACACCGCTCCCCTCTTCTGGCATTCTCATCGAGGCATCTGCTGAGTAGGAATTAGGATCTCACGTGTTCTGAAATGGGACCTGTATCTCTGCTCGCATTTAAATTTAGCGACTCGTCAGGGCAAATCAGCTGCGCCATTGCATTCAACACATGCGTTGGCAGAGTGTAATCAACATGAGGTCCCCCATTGCCTGCTCGCTTGAAAGCTTGAGCCCAACCGCCAAAAGGGGTGTTTCTTTGCACCATTCTCCAGAACTTTTGGCCGTCGACTGGAGGTCACGGACCGCCCAGACTCCCGCTGGCGCACGCTGTCGCCGAATCGCGTCGGGCATCCGCTGAGTGGGCGTCAGGCGAAACCATTCAGGGTTGTTTAGTCCAGGACAGCCCAAGTGCAGTATAGTTCTAATCTTCACGAGTGCAGGAACAAGGATTGTTAGGCTCAAGCTCTTAGTCGAAGGCTCTTGCTGCGTGTGTCGAACAGTTGTGCGAGGCCTTCTTTCAGAGGACACCTCGGCGCCGGATCCTGGTTATCCAGACCGACGTGGCTTCCCGGAACCTGGCTGCCCTGATCCAACCAGAACAAGATGGGGGCTGCAGAGCATCGCCATTCTGTCGAAGTCCCCGTGCACAGCGCATGCTGCTTCAAGCGCACTGTCGGATGAGCACCGCTGCTCCTGTTCAGACTTGGTGAAGGCAGCGACGTCTCCACCCGTAGTGACCACCACAGTGTGACCACATCTCACGAAAGATTGCGATTACATGGTCTGCATGCGAATTCATCTCTTTACATACCGGGCTCCGACATCAAGATCTTTCTACTCGGAGCCTTCCGAGCTAGCACAAAGCTGGCCTTTCAATGCAGTGCTCATGGTAGGCTGATGCCTCCCACTGATCGCTGACTTCGTTCGATTCGTTCGAAAGCAATGAAAACATCATCGGTAGAGCCAGCAGTTACTCCGAATTACCAAACATGAGTGATGAGAGTCCCATGGAAAGGAGGGACCTGATTCGGGGAGGTGCGAATCCGAACATGAAAGGATACCGCTACGGCCATGAACCCCCCACATCGACAAATTGTTGATTAAAGAACCTTCGTTTAAATCTGCAGTAATCGCTTTGGGCTATTTCCCTTTTCGTGTCAACGTAAGACACATGTCAATGCACAGTTGTAAGGATTCAGCAGCCTTTTGTCGTCTGGCCAAGAGAAGTATAGTTGTGGAGGAGTTACGTTCAGCCTCTTCTGGTTTACTGTTTACTCTGTTCTGCTGCTTGCTTGTCATTGCTTTTGGTTCTCTTTGCACAAGCCTAGTGCAGTATTAGCAGACCACATGACTAGCCGAATCCTGTCAACACGCCACATGCCTTGCACGCACAAAAGACTGCAGCAGTTTGGCTTGAGAGGCGATTCACCGCCCCCGCCCCGATCCCCATCCTCTTCTAGATCAAATGTCAAACGCTGCAGAGTTCAAGCTTAAACATTAGGGACTAAACCCTAAACCCTAAACCCCAAACCCCACAAGCTCTGGACGTCAGCTTTATGCGACCTGCCGGGTGTCGCCTGCGGTTTGGGCCATGGTGAAGGACTCGGTCAGCTTTCGGGTTGGCGGTTTGGGGCTTACGAGACTTTAAGGGTTCACACTTCAGGGTCGAAGGGTTTGGGATTCAGAGTTGTGAGTTTCCAGTCGAGCTTGGTGGGTGCGTGTGTGCGTGTGTGCGTGTGCACGTGTGTGTGCGCGTGTGTGCGCGTGTGTGTGCGTGTGTGTGCGCGTGTGTGCGCGTGTGTGCGCGTGTGTATGCGTGTGTGTGCGTGTGTGCGCGTGTGCGTGCGTGCGTGCGTGCGTGCGTGCGTGCGTGCGTGTGCGTGCGTGTGCGTGTGCGTGTGCGTCTTCATGTGCGGGTGCGGGTGCAGGTGCGGGTGCAGGTGCAGGTGTGTGTGTGTGT